CCCGGAGCATTAGGGGCTTGAGATGGTGGTCAGGCTGGGAACCAGCAGCTGGAGGCGCAGGGGGAGACGTGGGCTCAGGTGCATGAGGCCCGTGGGAAGCACAGGGGAGGAACAGGGGCTGCCGGGCTGGCCCTCCGAGGCTGGGCTGCACCTGCCTTAGGCGCCATGGGCCTCCTCCTGGGCTGGTCGCTACCGCCTTGGCTTAGGCCAGTGTAGCAGATTTCAGCTCCTTGCAGCCCCGGGGCCCTGGGCATTGCTCTGTTTGCCTTTCCAAGCAGTGCTTGAAGCCTTGTCCTCGATACCAAAGACCACCACTTGTACTTCCTTGGTGTCTCCAGACCCAGCATAGAGGAGGGACTCTGTACATTCTGTGGACAATAACATAGAATCAAGGCCCCCCAGAAAGACCTGGCACGTGTGTGCTAAATGCCCTGCCTGCATCCTCATTCCATCTTCCCAGGGCAAGCCATTGAGGCGGGGAACTGTGTCCCTTTGGACAGATACAGGGCGCAGGTGACCCGTTGAAGGCCACATGGTCAGGAAGTGGCGAGGCCTGAGCTGGAACCCAGCATCGGCTGTTCTGTCTGCACCGCGGCTTTCCTATTTGATCTTTCCTATTTGCTTTTCCTCTCCTACTGTGGGACAGAGGCCTGAGACATCCCAGAGCGGGGGTCTGGGATGCGGAGGAGGCAGGGCTGGTGCCCCTGAGATGAGCGCTGAGCTAAGGTGGCCGTGCTCCAGCTCCTTCCTGCCCGAGTCTGGTGTGAACGGGCTGCAGGCAGACCGGTGTCTGGCCCAGACGCACAGAGCATGCTAAGAGGAGGCAAAGAGCTTTGATGGTGGAACCTGAGCTGTTGGCTCCTCACAAGGAGCGTGGTGCCTGTCCCTGGGCACCGCCGCCTCCTTAGCAGGTGTCTGGAGTGGCCTCTCACAAGCAGGTGAGCAGGCGGGACAGGATTGAAACCACCCAGACTCCGATGTGCTGTGTGTCCCCAGACAAGGGCCCCAGGCGAGTAGGAGGTGAAAGGCACCAAGCACTCCGGCCCTCCCCGCCGGGGCCACCTTGCGGGAGCCGCTCCTGTCTTCACAGCAGCTGGAGCTTTCTCCTTCCAGGAGCACCCCGAGGGCTGCCACCAGAGAACAGAGGGACTTTCTGCATCCCCCAGAATCCCACTGATTGTAACCAGGTGGTCTCAACTAAACGAGGGGCAAAGAAGCCCACCAGTCCTTTCTAGAAGGCTGACAGGCCAGGTGGTGACAAGAGCCCTGCTAGGGGAGAGAGAGCTGGGGGATTGCCCTGAAGGACACTGACCTCTGCTGGCTTCAGACACCACGACAGCAAACTGGGGAAAGAGGTTAAAACAAACGTTTATTTAACAAATTATATTAAGAATACAGACAATCACACAGTGGACTTCCCTTGCCGAGTACAAGAGTCACCTTGAATAAATATGCAGCGGGGACGTCATCCCTAAGGGCCTTGTCCAGGCCTGACACAGTCACACAGCAGCTCCATGGCCTTGGCTGGGAAAACAAAGCCGTCACTGGTGGCAACCCCCGGGCATGTGCTCAGAGTGGCAGGAGGAGAGCGGGCCGCCCTGAGGGTGCCAGGCAGCCCAAGCAGAGGCTGTGGGCTCAGGGGTGAGTGCCTGGCGTGGCCTCTGGGGACAAGGCAGGCCGCGAACCGAGTTCATGAGCTCAGCCGCCGTGTGGCTGCCAGGCCCGGAGGCTGCTTCCTCAAGGCCCTCCTTTGCCTTCATCCTCAGGCCCACCCAGTTCTCCGAGAAGCTGCAGTCTGGGATTCCCCACAGACACCTGTAGGCTCTGGAGGGCCCTCATCTTGGTGGAGGAGTGCGGGTAGGCCACTCCTGACTGTGCTCAGCACCCACTGCACAGTGGCCTGGTGACCGGCAGGGCCCAGTGGCGGCTGGGAAGTCCGTGACAGGACTGGAAACAGAAAGAGCATCCCCAGCACAGGCTTGCGACGGGATGGCTGGCCCGGGGGCTAGGGGCCGACCCCCGCCTCTGCCGCTTAGCAGCCGGTCAAGCCTCAGCCTCTTCAACTCTAACAAGGAGCAAAGAACATCTACTTCCAGGTCACTCTGGTTTTAGGGGGAATAAAAGGAGAAATGTGCTTAGAGAGCCTGGCCTAGAGCCTGGCCGGGAGCAGGTGCTTAGAACACGGGAGTCCCTCTTGTCCTCCTACCGACCTCCAATTCCTTTACACGACCCCACTGGGTTCTCATCTCTCCAAGTGGTGGAGGATGTGGCTGGCATTTGTTCTTGGACTTGGGGTGGGAAGAAAGGCCTTAAGTATACATTTGCAAGGGAGCCCGCAGCAAAGCACCTGCTCCTTGTCACCTTTGTGCCATTTCCAAGGCCTCTGGAAAGACACTTCAACTTTCCAGAGAGAAGGGGGAGGTGGTGGGGACGGTGTGCTCTGGTTAGCCATTCTGGAGGGACAGAGGCTGCCGGCAGGGACAGCAGCAGTGGTGGGAAGTGCTGTGGCGGGGGGGACCTGAGGGATGAGGCCAAGACCTTCTTCACATTTCCAAGGGAAACTTTGTCCTTCCCTCCCACAGTGGCCAGAGGGCTCGTGGAGAAAAGAACTCTCCCAAAAGACAGAAAAGCTCTCAATTCCTAGGTATGAGCCAGAGTTCCATGCTTCAGTTTTCCCGCACCAGCCCCATTCAGGTGGGCTTACACGCAACGTGCTCTCACACACACACACACACACACACAGGCACACGCTTGTCCTCACCCACCTCTCAGAAGGCAATAAATGGTGGGTTAGGAGCAGCCTAAAACCTACCACAGACACCAACTTGTCCTTAACACTGTCACTGCTTATCTGAAGCTGCCGTTTACTACAACGTTCACAGTCATTTACTCTTATGCTAAGTCCGTAATGCTATGGAGAAGATGGCTCCAGCTCGCCTGAGTCCACGCAGTTTGTCCTCTTCCTGGTGGCCTGGAGGTCCTGTCCATCCAGCAACTGCAGGAGGGCATGCGGGGGCACCTGGCTGGGACCCCAGCTCGAGAGGGGCCTGCAGGGGTGTCAGTGGGGGCTGTGGGAGCCCCTTCCTCTCCTGCAGCCGCCCTCGCTGCTTGTTCTGCGTCCTTGCAGACAGGGCTCCCACACCACTGCCTCTGAGCCTCCTAGGGTCCGGCAGAGCTGCCACAGGCCTTTTCCCAGTCACGGGAGTGGAGTGAAGGGCCCCTGGCATTATCTGTCAGAGGCGATCTCACAACCAGGGCACGAAAAGAGGTCGAAGGACAAAGTTCACAAACCCTAATGAAGTGGGCAGAAGTGGCCAGAGCTCTGCCCTCTGCCCTCCTGCCGCCCCTGCCTGCCGGAAGTCACCCTTGTTGTTGGCTTTGGTCACACGGGCCACCACCCGAGGAGCCACGGCAGACATAGGTGCCCCCCGTGGGTGCCACGGGGCTCCTCAGGTCCCCAGAACCACACTGGCTTATGTGAACGGAGCATCGGCGGCCAGCCTGGCAGCCCCCTCCCCGCTCAGCATCAGTCCTATGACAAGGTCCTGCTGCTGTGCTACCCAGGAGGCCTGAGAAGGCCACCCCCACCAGGGGCGTCCTCGGGTCTCAGGGAGGGAGAAGTGGCTGCTTCCCTAATCCACAGAAATCAAGAGGTATCCGAGTGAAGATCGGGGTGGCAGAGGAGGAAGATGGGTCCACACAGGGGCCTGGGGCCTGGAGACGGAGGGGCTGGTGCAGGTGCATGAGGTATTTCTGGCCCCGCCCGCCTCTTGGCCAGCTGTGCTGTCCGGCGCTACCTCCCTTTCCTCCTGTTCCTCTGGGCCTCAGCTAGCACTACTGTGGGCTGCCCAGGGCCTGCAGCGGGAGAGGCTGTCCCTGCTGAGGCAGTGGCTTCCCTGGACCCAGATACTGCAGCCGCCAACCGCGGCATCAAGCCCCCACATCCAAGAGCCAACTCTTGGGGACCCAAAGATATCAGGTCCCCATATTCTGAGGAATCAGGACACAGTCCAATGCCTGACACCACAGAGTGAGGCAGCCCTTCACGTGAGGGCCTGGGCCCTGAGAGATGGCAGCCAGCACTGCTTAGGCAACGCCGCCTGGGGCTGAACTTGGGCGCCCAGCACTGTGAGGACGCCAGCACCAGGGGTCTCAGGAGAAAATGCCAGTTCTGGCCCAAATTTGGTGACCTGGCCCAGAGGGACCTTCAGAATGACTTGTTCCTGTTAGCAGACACCGTCAAGACATGCCTGGCTCCGGAGAGGGGCTAGGTGCCCCGTGTGCCTGTATCCTCCCAGGCCAGCACGTCTCAGAGGGTGTCCTGTGTCCCTGGGTCAGGGCACGGACTGAGGCACCTGGAGCTATCGTTGGCATGTGGTTGTTGCATGGATGAGCCCTTGGGGGAGGCGCGCCGTGGCCGAGCACAGCGTCCTGGTGGTGGATCCAAGCAGGGCCGTCAACCGTCCTCCTCCCCAGAAAGCAACAACCCTCTGCCGGGGCAGGGCTGCTGCTCCCCCGACTTCCAGGCGAGCTGGGTGAGAAGTCCATGGGATGGTCCAAAGGGCAGGGGTCCACGCCGGGGCCCACTGGCTTCTTCCTTCCACGTCTTCTCAGGGCTGCTGTGAGATCCTGCAGAGAGGAACTTGGTCCTGGCAGCCCTAGGCCAGGGAGGATCAGCGACCCTGGAGAGTCCTAGGTAAAGCTATCAGCCCCCAGGGCCTTCCAGGAAGGGACTCAGCGGCTTAGTGGGGTCTGCCCTGGTAGGTGACAGGAGGGAACGGAGGGAGCTGATGGGCGTCACTGGGCGGCCGGGGCAACTGCCCGGGGCCCTCAGGGGGACTCCGTGGTGAGTGAGGTTTTTGGAGGACAACTGGTCATCACACAGACACGTTAGGAGCCGCTGGTCACTACAGCACACACAGATTAGTCATGGTTATGAACAACGTCCCCAGGGAGGCCGGGGTGTCAGGCCAGCTGAAGACAGGACACGCCCACTTAGCTGCCCAGTCTCCGGGCCAGCCCTGCTGGGGCAGTGTGGGAGGGAGGGCTGGTGGAGGCGGCAGGAGGAGGCGGGGGCAGCAGCCCCTGCCGTCAGTAGTCTGGGCGGTGGTCTCCCCGCAGGTGGCCGCTGGCTCCTCAGGACTGCGGGATCTGCTGACACCTGTGGGGCTGGGCGGGAGCCTGGCGGCTGCGCTCTGCTCTGTGCGGAAGCTGTACTCGTACTGCAGGGGCGGGTGGGGACAGAGAGACACAGTCAGTCCATGGGACACCAGGGAAACCCCTCCACAACCTCAGATCAAGAGCAGGCAGAGGCCTGGGCTGCCTCATGGGGCATCCTGACATAGGGCTGCTGGCCAGGCTGGTGCCAGCCAGAGCCTGCCCTCTGCTGGCCCTCTTGGGCCCCTGAGCTGTGCCCGTGAACTGTGCATGTGGCGTGTGTGTGTGGACACGCCTGCGGGGGTGACAGGCTCCTGTGGCGATGACTGGTATCCTCCACAGTCCCTGCCTGCTCCCTGTGAGGCCAGGCCTGGCGCCAGCAGTGTGCAAAGCCATGGTGCCACCCACCTGCCAGGCCTGTGCTGACTGTCATGGCCTTCTGCCCAGCAGGACAGTTCTCGTGCCCCTGCTGGTGAGGGCAGATTCTCAAACCCAAACCTCGCCAAGGCTGGTCTCAGCTGCCAGGCTCCGGGGACCTGTGATATGCTGGCTCCGCTGAAGCAAGAACCAATGCCAGGTGGTGCCCAGGGACATGGGAAGGGCCTCCACTGCTGTCCCTGGCACCGTCCACACCCTCCCCATGCCTTCCTTACGGAGTCCTCAGAGGCACCCCTGCTGAGGACTCCTGACAGGCCACAGCGGGGCCAGAGTGGCTGCCTGGGGAGGGGACCTTCCTCCATGGCTCAGCCCTGCTGCTCCCTGTCTTGAGGACAAGAGTTAAGCCTCACACCAGAGACCCCAGCTTACCTAAGCGACCCTGGCTCACCAAAATGAGTTCCAAGTCTGATGGAAATTTAGAGAAGGGATAAGTACCTCTGAGGGGGCTGGGAGCACCTGTAGTTCACTTAGATGCCAGGTGAGGTCTTGGTGCCCAAACATAAAGCAGGGCATGTGGGCAGAGCGGGCACATGGGCAGAGCAGGCACGGGGCACTCCAGCCACAGAAATGGGCTGGCAGCTGCCTGGCTGGACACAGGTGCAAGGTGCTGGGGCTGCGTGGGGTGTGGGGAACAGCCTGGAACCCTACGTCAAGGCAGCCTCGTGGTCACATGGATTTTAGGAAGCAGGAACTTAGATTAGATCAGTGGTTTTCAAGCATTTAAATATTAAAAAAAGTTTTAGCAGTAGAATTGCCATAAGAAGAGCTCCCCTGCAGAGAGCAGATGGAAGTGGAGCTGCCCTGTAGCTGAGCTGACCATGAGTTGCAGCCCCTTGGGGGACACCTGTAGACAGGCAGTCCAGGAAGGGAGGCTGTCAGGAACACGGTAGGGGTAACACCGCCCTAGGAGGACGCCAAGCACTGCAACCAGCCCCAGGGAGGGTCCCGGGGTGCCCACGCCCTGCCTGCCAGCAGGTGGCCTTCCGGGCCTGCCCAGCCCTCCCTGCTGCCCAAATCGAGCCGCCTGTAGCAAGGAGCCCTCCCGAGGGCCCCGATGAGTGAGGAGGGCTGCAGCGCTGAGCCTTCAGGGGCAGAGTGGGGCCCAAATGCCATCCAACCATGAAGGGGCATGGGAGCCCTTTTCCCTTAAAGTGGAAAACTGGTGGGGAGGCTGTGGCAGCCAGCAAGTCGTAGCCCAGCACTGCAGCCATGCCCACAGACTAGCGCCACATCCACGGCCAAAGCCCAGCACTATGTCCACGGCTGCCCCTGCTCCACAGTCCCCAGACCGACCCGGGACAGATGGACAGACCCTGGTCTCAGCTGGGGCTGAGGCTGGCCCTGCCCCGTGTGCAAGGTGGGCTGAGCAGACATGTGGCCCCCGAGCCAAAGGGAGCCCTGTTCACAGCATCTGCTGCCTGGCAGGGTGCAGAGGGAAGGACCCGAGGCTGCAGGACAACTCAGGCGGACTCCTCTCCTCTCCTGCCCTCAGTGAACTCATCTCTCAGGTGGGGTGATGCGCCCACAGCCAGGCCTGCCCGGAGGATGGAATGAGCAACGGCAGCGCAGGGCCCGCCACACCCTGGCACTGAGCAAGCTATCACTGAACGTCTGGCTGCTCCACAGACCCCGCAATGCAGCCCCAGCCCTCCACTTTCCTGCTCGCCAACCACCAGGCACAGGCCGCGGTCAGGAGGCTCCGGCTCCGGGAGGCTGAGGAGCGGGGCGGCGCCAAACGCTGGGAGGACACTGCCACCTGGTGGCCGCCTAGGCACATGCACGGCAGGGAACAGCGGCGAATTTATTCCCTGGCTGGCTTCATCAAGCCCCCACAGACACCCGCCCTGCGCTGGGCTCCCAGGGTAGCAGAGGACGGGGCGGGCATGCCCAGCACAGCCCAGCATGAAGGCCACCTTCGAGGGCACATGCACGGGGCGTGGGGACCACTGGAGAGGGCAAGGAGGGCTTCGCGGGGCAGGGGGCATTCACATCTTGAAAGCAGATTTGGGGCCTGACTGGCGAAGAGAATTGACAGCACCTAGGGCAGCAGGTGCCAAGGTGCAGAGAAGAGCGCCACGGGCACACCTGCCTGTGGGGACAGCGGGGCTGAGGGCCTGCGGCGTGGATAGTTAGGCCATCAGCCCTGGCTCGGGAGAGAACATGCAGCAGGCTTTTCAACCCTGAACGCACACCAGTCCCCGGGGGTCCCAGTCAAATGCAGATTCTGACTGGATAGGTCTGGGGCCAGGCCTGAGAATCTGCATTTCAAATAGCTCCTAGGTAACCCCATGCTGCTGCTCTGGGGACCGGTTTAGACAATTCTACGACCCAATCACTGGGACCTGGGAATGGGTGTGGATGTGGATGTGCAGGGAGGGAAGGGCCAGAGACCACATGCTGTGCAGAGAGGAGCTGGGGAAGGACTGGCGGGGGAGGGGGTGGGGGTGGGTGGGTGGTGGGGGAGGCGGGGGTGGGACATGGCTTGGAGGCGCTCCACTTTGGATGCTCCAAGGCCATGCCAGGGAGATGCCTGCAGAGGTGAAGCATCTCAGATGACAGAGGGAGAAAGCCCACAGCCAGGTGTCTGCAGGGCAGTGGAGGGGCTGGGGGAGGCTTCCTGGGCCGCGCCCTTCTGCTCCTTCAGTAGGCCTTGCCGTATCTGCTGGTCCGGGTTTCCTGGGAGTGGCAGGGAGTGCTGAGGGCTGGCCTGCCAGAGAGAGCAGGTGAAGGGTGGCTGCAGCCCCAGCCCGAGTGTCCACAGCCAGAGTGCCTAGGCCCGGGCCTGGTGGGGGCTTTCTGGATGGTGAGCGGGGGAGCAGGACGCTTCCACGCCTCTGTGAGCAACTGGCTGATTGGGCAGAGGAGCTGTCCTGGGGACCCTGTGCCGCTGTCCCAGTCTCTGTGGCCAGGAGTGGGAACAGGGTCGCGGGGAGGGCATGGCTGGGCCCTCCGGGCTGGGGGAGGGCGGAGAAGGCGCCCCCTTCCTGCCTGCGCCGCGCCGGTCCCCGCGAGGGCGCACAGATTGCGCCCCCACCCTCTCTCCCTCGGGATTTTTTTCCCTTTTTAGGTTATCTTGGCTGGAGAAAAGCGTCACCCACCCCCCTTCTTGTTTTCCCTAACTCCCCAAATGAAATTTCAACATATGTCCCGCGACATAATCCCCTCTGGCTGCGGCCGCCTTCCCGCAGACGCGGTCCCTGCCCGCTCCTCCCGCCGTGTTTACCCAGGAGACGGGGCCGCTTCTGGAAGCCCTTTCACTCCCTTGGGCAAACAGCGAGTACCTTTGAAGGTGGATTTGGGCCCGGATCTGTTTACTCAAGACATTAGTCTCCTGCATAAGAAAAACCTGCACTCGCGAACAAACAGCAAATCCTTTTTGAATTAAAAAAATTTTCAATTAAAAAGCATTTGGTCCGCACAGCTCCGTCCAGCTGCGCAGCGCCGGGCCTGCGCCCTCTGGTGGGCACAGGCCGCCACTGCAGCAGCTGGGCAGCCCGGGCCTGGGGCCTCTCTCCGGAAAGAGATGTCACTGTCAGGGGTTCTGCCAGGGGTCCCGGAGGCTCTGCCAGTGGTCCTGGGGACCCTGCCACTGATGGCAGCAGGCGTCTCCGGCCACGGTGCGAGAGTCTCAGCTTCTAAAAGCCTTTTCTCATAGTGAGGCCAGTGTCCTGCGATAGGAGGTGCCAACTGTAGCTTCCAGCAGCACCTAGGAGGCAAAGTCCCTTCAGCCCCAGCTTCGAGGCAAAGAGGGGGCAGTAGAACCTAGTGGTCTACTCACAACTAGGACGTTTCGTGTGCAAGTGCCTTGAGAGTGAAAAGAGCCCTGGTTACGCATCAGAACCAAAGGCTTTAACCACAGTGATGCATGTGCCCCACCCGGGGTTGGCAGGAGTGGTCCTGGTTTAACCGGCACCGGGACACCAGCATTTTTTGAAAACACTCAGGTGATTTCAGTACTAACTGCACTAATCACCAGAGGGGAAGGCAAGTGCACTGCTCCTCCAGGCTCCTCCCTCCTTCCCACGCCAGGTCTCACACTGAGCGCTCTAGAAGGCTCCAGACGGGAAAGGGCAGTAAGGGGCTGATCCCAGCACCCGAGCTTTGCAGAGGAGGAAAGTGAAGCCCAAGAAAGGATCTGACTTCCTGAGGTCCCAGAGTGAGCTGGGCAGTGCTGGACCAGGCCTGGGCCCAGAGAGGCGTGGGGGGAGGGGGGCAGGTGCTGTGCTGGCTGGGAAACCTGCATTAGACATTGGCATCCACCTCTCCTGGGATGCAACTCCAGCATGGAGGCCAGACCGACAGACATGAACTAGTGAGCTCGTGGGTGAATCATGGTAGGGTCTGGAATGGTGTAGTCCAGAGGGCAGGGGCTGGGCCAGGCCAGGTGAGGACAGGTGGGAGGGAACTAAAGGGGCCAAGGCTGGGGCCAACGAGAAGAGTCTGGTGCACGGGTGGACAGACACTGATGGGTGGGCTTGGGCAGGTGGATGGGCCTGGCCCTAGCACAGGCAGGGAGAGGTGGGGGAGACGCTGCACCGCAGCCCCACCTCTCTGTTTCTCCAACCCCCGGCTCAGCACTCCAGTCATCCCCTTCCATCTCAGGTGCTCCCACGGCCTCGGCCATGAT